AGGGAGCCCGATGTGGGACTCGATCCCGGGACTCCAGGATCATGACCTGAGCCGAAGGCAGTCGCTTAACCAACTGAGCCACCCAGGTGCCCCTATGTGGATTTCTTTGACAGCCATCATGATCCTTTGGTGGGAAAAACTCAACCTTAGCATCCCCCAAATTCAAGTGAATTCCAAACGTGGTCCACGTTTCTGATGGTACGGACCAGTTTTGCTGCCTTAAGTTATAAGACCAATTGGCAAAGGATTTGCTTGCCCAGCATCAAGCACAAACTGGCAAAGCTCTATCTTGGGGAATCCCTTAAAAGCATGTCAGCCTTGAGTTTTTTTAAAATCGTGCACTTCATCTGGCCTTGTAGTCATTGCTTTAAGTAAACTCTTTGCTTTTGCAGGTTGTTGGTTGTTTAAACGATACATCTATCTCCAAATAAAGTCACATTTGTTAGTGGGTATAGATTAGTAATGAATTGATTTCTGGAGCTTAATTAGCTAACAGGACAATTCATGATGAATCAATTCTTGTCATAAACAAGACATGCAACAGAGACTTCTTCAAGTTCCTCTGGGTTGCAATTACACACACTGGCGTGGATACCTTCATGGTAATAGATAGATGATGATGTCATCAACATTATAGGTGGATGAATTCATTTTCCTCCTCTATTTTAAGTACAACTCCATATTGTGCACATATATACATTGATGCATTGAGAAATGGAGCATAAACAAACAAAAACCCCAATAAATTATTTGCTATTGGTAATGTGTTATTTAAATGAAGTTGGCTTTTTAAAAGATAGACTATACCTGATGGATACTCCACGTATTTTATAAATCCATGCCACTTGCAAGAATAATAACACTCAGATTGCACACATTGCAAAGAACTTCAAAGTTCTGTAGGTATCTTTACTCACTTATTCCTTACAACAGTTAAACGGGCAAGAAGTATTTTTAGTCCCATTTTATGGATTAGAAAACTGAAGCCCAGAGAGCATAAGTAATTTCCCCAAGATCACACAGTTGGTAAATGAGCTCAGATTCAAACCCAGGCAGTTTAGCTCCAGACTGCATGCTCTTAAACACCATATCACCTCTTAATGGGAAAAAGAGAGAGAGAGAGAGAGTTCACGGTGGAAGGAAGTTCTCAAAAAAGGAACCATCTCAAGTTAACTAGGTAAGCTTTCACTTTAAACAACCAGAAAAAGAAGAGTATAATAAACTTAAGAAGAAGAAAATAATTAAAAGATCAGAAAGCAATGAAATTGGAAACAGAAAACAATAAAGAAAATCAGTAGACTAGCTTAGACACAAAAATAGACAAAAGAGAGTTGGGGTCTATTTTTGCCTTGCATTGCAATAATTGATTTGAGTTTTTGATTCATAAGTTAGAAAATTTATTTTTAGGATCTTAATATAAATTAGCCCTTGTACTGAATCATCATATCTAGTTACTGTTTTTATAAACTACTTAGTAGTTTATATTATAAGGTTGAGAGTGTTTCTTTTGTAGCCCATCAATTTCACACTTAAATATAAAGCATGTGTTTTGAATATGTATTAATGTTCTGTGCACACCCATTCCCATTTCACAGTGGTTTCACGTATTGTGGAATTAATTGTTTTAGGCATAAAAATCATCAGCTTTTTCTGAAGTGAACATCTTGCTTCACAAAAGATACGGAAGAAGTACAGTGCCATTGAATTAGTCACGAATGCTTGCTCTGTTTTTCTTGCTAACTCTGCCAAACCAAAAGTGTTTCAGGGGTTTATTTTACCTTTCAATGGAAGGACCAATTCCTTGGAGGGAAATTATATTTTGCACATTACAGTTAAAAATTATGTTTATTTATTTATTTTTTTTGCAGCGGAGGTATTGTGACAAAACCATTTTCTCTTTGCAGTCACTATTTGCCAAGATAGCCTTGAAAAGTTTGTTCATTTTCCTTTCCGAGGACTCCGTTATTTCAAGTATGTTTTTTCTCTCTATTTTTTTGCCAGCTGTGCAAATTTTATAAAACAGCTTCAATATGAATCTTTTATGACTGTTCTTCAGTCATCTGAGTTATACTAAGCACGAAAGGCATAAGAGATACCCACTTTGGATACTGGCTAAGACAGAGAGCAGCATGCAATGCACACAAAGGAAACTCAATCCTCTAACAGCTAATTAAAAAAGCATTACTTTCCACCAGGGCTGACCTCCAGCCATATAAAGGATAAAGATGGCTGTCTGTCAATCATGTTTACCTAACAAATTCTGGCACGGGATCATGATGAATGGACAGATCTAAAAAGGGACGATATTGCTCAGAACTCCTAGGTACTCTTAATACCACCTTTAAAGAGGCAGAAGACCTCATCAGTAATTTGAAACCCCTGCCTCAGTGCTAGGGATACACCAGGGCTAAATTTGCCAAGGACGTCAGATACTAGATACAAGAAGGCAAGAGAAACATATTTTCACATCTGCAAAGATTTTGATGTAAGTGTATTTAAGATATCATTACAAGTTCATGTACCCTAATGTGTTGTTGTTTTTTTTTTTTAACTTTTTTAAAATTGCTTGAGGATATACCAGAGACCCAACAGTAGACTGTGTTTGTTCTTCCCTGTAATTATCCCCAAATCAACTAGCAGGAAGGAATCCTTGAAGTCATTTAGTTCATCCGCCTGTTTCCAGGTAGGCCAGCAAGAGCCTTTTCTTCTTCAGTCATAAAAATACTAGGTGAGTCAACAATTTACTTTCCTATGATACTACAGAGACTGTAGATTTTTACAGCCAAGAAATTTCTCCTAAGTCTAAACTAAATCCTACCATTTTCAAAGCAGCATTTCATTCTGCCCTTCACTAGAAAAAAAAAATCTTTGCCATCAGCCATAAAATATCTCTTCACAACTTTTCACTATGGGGACTACTTTGACGAGAACCCTGATAGGAAGAAGTTCACTCAAAGTTCATACAAGGGAACAGTAGCCAGTCTAGATCCTCTCTATCCAGCAAAGATATGATTATCTCTGCAGGCTCTCTCTCTCTCTCTTTCTGTCTTTCTTGTCTTCTTTTTAGTTGAGGTATAATTGAAATGTAACATTATGTTAGTTTCACCTGTACAACATAATAATTCGATATATTGTATATATTGTGAAATGGTCACTGTAATAAGTCTAGTTAACATCTATCACTGTACATAGTTCCAATTTTTTTCTTGTGATGAGATCTTTTAAGATCTACTCTCTTAGCAACTTCCAAATACGCAATACAGTATAATTAACTTTAGTCACCATGCTCTACATTAGATCCCCAGGACTTTTTTATTTTATAACTGGAAGTTTGTATCTTTTGACTCTCTTCACATATTTCACCCACTCCCCAACCTCCAACCAATCTCTTTTCTGTTTCTGTGAATTTGTTGTTGTTGTTGTTGTTTTAGATTCCACATATAAGTGAGATCATGCAGTATTTGTCTTTCTCTGAGTTATTTCACTTAGCATAATGCCCTGAAGTTCTATCCATACTGTTGCAAATGGCAGTATTTTTTTCTTCTTCTAACTGAACGATATTACATTGTATAGATATACCATATTTTCTTGATCTATTCATCCATTGATGGACTCTTAGGTTATTTCAATACCTTGGCTATTGTCAATAATGCTGCAATTCCATAGGACTTCTGACCTGTATTTTTCAACAGTCTTCAATATGTCCAGCCTGTCCTTATCATTCTTGCTGAGCTTATCTTATTCGCTTCAATACTTATTTTGGATCACAACAAAGAAAAATTGATTTTTTGTATTTATTGTAATAATGAAAATAACAGTAATACTACTAATAAAGCATAGTATCTGGAAAACAGAAAATATAAATTTACTATTTGGATGGTTTATACCTACATTTTTGAGCTTCAGCTTTGTCCAGGGATGGCATGGTGGCAAAGAATAATCTGACCAAGTATGTTGGTAGTACATTCTCAAGATTCTTATTTCTTGGGGTTCTATTTATGATTTTTGAACTCACTTTAATTTAGTTTGCTAACTCAGGCTGAGACTATGATGTATCATATGTCTTTTGATATTACCTGATTTTGCATTTTGCCCCAATTAAATATTATAATTTTTTTTTTCATTTTTTTTGGCCATGTTTCTTCTCCAAAACACATATCCATTCACCACATTTTTTTTGGTATGCACATATAGCTTTTGTAATACATTTACAATTGTTTTCTAATTATTTCATGAAAATTAGTCTTATCTATTCAAAGTCAAGAGGTAGTAGAGAGTAGTGGCTCTGGTTTACTCATTCCCTAGGGCAAGTTATAGAACTTCTCGTGCCTCAGTTTACTGTTATTATGCCTGTTAAAACCAAGCATCATAATAATACTTTCTTATAGGATTATTATGAAGATTACAGGGATTGATGCCGTGCTTAGGACAATTTCTAATATATAATAAGAACTGTATATATAGTTATTATCAAGAGCCAACCATCCATCTAATGTTGTAATGATATCATCGGTAAGTCCAAGCAATTGATAAAAATACAAAATTCTCTGAAGACGATTTCGGGGTTTTTGCTCAGTTGCATTTGTAACATATGTTTCTCTTTTTCTCCCCTACTGGCTGATATTCTAGCATAAGCAGTTTTCCCTGGTCAGGCACCTTCTCAGGTATATGGTACTTCATAATTTGTGTAACTACCTTATCCCAGTTATTTTTTTTTTAAGATTTTATTTATTTATTTGAGAGAGAGAGAATGAGAGAGAGCACATGAGAGGGGGGAGGGTCAGAGGGAGAGCAGACTCCCTGCTGAGCAGGGAGCCTGATGCGGGACTCGATCCCGGGACTCCAGGATCACGACCTGAGCCGAAGGCAGTCGCTTAACCAACTGAGCCTCCCAGGCGCCCCATTATCCCAGTTATTTCAATGCATTTGTATGACATACTTAGGTAATTGTTTTCAAAGTCAACTTATCAACTTATACCAGCATTCTTTTGATTTGTTAGATGTGCAAATCTATGAAAAACATTATCAAGCCAGTTTGGTTTATTGGTCTCATTCATCACATTCAAATTTTTCATAATCCAATGGTTTTGATCTTTATAAATAGATATTTGGGTGATAAATTTTAATTTATTTCCAACATTTTGTGTATAATTTTGATGGCCATAACCTGTTCCATGTCATTCTCCTTTAACTGGAGAATGAATAGGGTCAAACTTTGGTCTTTTCCTCAATTGCTAATAAGACATTAAGTTGTAATTATCTACATATTTTGATGAGATTATAGCTCCTTTTTTATTTTACATGTCCAAATCTTATTATTTTATTGTGCAAGGAAATGATATGAGGAAATTGGGGACTTCAATTTAGTGATATGAAGTCAGTGTCATCTTGTGTGTGTGTGTGTGTGTTTGAGATTTCCTTGCCATTCCTAAGGAAGGGAAGAGAATTTAGATAATTTATGACATGTTAAAGATGCCTAGTTGAAATATATCTGTAACTTGTAATGTTTAATAGTGGTGAGAAAGTTTAATTTGCCCTCTCTTTTACCCGTATTATTAAAAAAAAGAATATTTGAGTAGAGAGAAAGTGAGACATATTATGTGGCTCCTTTTTATTTGCTTTCCATGAATTTTACCCTAAAATTCCCGTAAATGCCTGTCCTCATAATGGCTTTTGGCGCTGTTATTTTTGGATAACCTAATAACAACCTAATAAAGAATGCAATACAAGAAATAAGTGTCGGAGTTTTGGGCCCTGCAGACAAATTTCTGTAATCAATCATGAGATTTACAACAGATACTAAAAAGAGAAGCAATTTTACAGAGAAAGGATTTAGGATGGCATAATGTCATCATAGGAAAAAACTCTAAACGGTATTTAGTTCCAGCCTACTCCACAAAAGCAACTGATATTTCATAAGTCATCTACATTATCATATTATGTCAAAGGGTCATAAAAATTGGGGCATTAATGAATGTAATTTAAAATATTTGACCTCAAAATAAAGTCACTCCCTTGAGACTGATAAGTATAGCTGTCTCCCACACAAAATTTCATGATGGACCTTATTTAATTTCAGAATTACCATGGTAGAAGAAATTTTGAAGTGTACAATTAGTGACTCATAGACTAAAAAATCCAGGGAGATACTTTCTATACCGTGCTGCTCCTGCACGATATGACCATCCAACACAATTTCGGAGGGGTTGGGGAAAGAGTGGACCAGTTGTTCAGACTCAGCTTTCAGTGAGGGGAAATATAGTATGGTAGAAAGTAAGTTGGATATTAGACAACCCATGAATTGGCCATATAGACATTTATAATACCTTATATGAAAAATGTTAAATGAATATTTTAGTTGAGGCATCAAGACAATCAATGCCACAATTCAGAGAGACCTGTGAGAGCAGGAAGCTGTGCTTTCCCTTTTTAGTTTTCATGTAAAATTCCAAATATTTACAGAAGTTGATAGAATTGTATAATGAATCCTTAGTATCTATGCCTTGGCTTCAACATATGGCCAACACATATCGCTTTGTTTCATCTTTATCCTTACTCCCTCTACTAATACATTATTTTGAAACAAATTCCAGACATCATAGCACTCAATGTGATATATAATATCTTAATGTGATATAAATAAAAATCTTTATGTATATCCTTAACAGATAAAGATTACTCAGTGTTTAATATATCCACAATACCACTATCTTTCTGAAAAATTTAACTATATTTCCTTAATATCACCAAAATCCAGCCAGTGTTTACATTTCTTTGTTTCACATTTTTTTATAGATAGTATGTTTGAATTAGGGTCCAGACAAAGTTCATGAATCATATTTGATTGATATATCTCTCCAGTCTCTCTTTTTATTTCCTTCTCTTATAATTATTTGTTGAAAAACTGGGTTAGTTGTCTTGAAGTTTCCCACCTTCTGGATTTTGCTAGTTTCATCCTTCTTTAATTAAAGTTCTGTTCTCCTTATAAGCTGACAACAAAGTTTAAAGCCCTGAATAACGCATTTTTAAAGAAGATGGCAAAACTAATTTTATTAACCCTTCACTCATAAAGAGGGTGGAAAGAGTAAGGGTTAGAAATGGGAACATGTTTGAAGAGAAGAGTTAGTCTGTTATGAGTCCTTTTTACCTCAGATCAAGAGAAAAGGGCTTTAATGAAACCACCCTGAGAACTTAATATAAGCCCCTGCATTTAGTCAGTGTTTGGATCCTGCCTAAAAACCTGAAAGCTTGATGTGGAGCCAAGGAGAGCTGACTGGGTTGAGAATTGCATTCTTGAAGTTTGTCAAACTACAGGATGTGTGAGATCATCTTATGAGACGATAGTGTGAAAGAGTGGCTTGGGATTAGTTTAGATTCTAACAAGAAAGCTACTTGGGAGAAGGCACTGGTACCTCTGGGAAGAAGAAGGAGCAAGAGATTGGCCAGAATACAGATGGATTTGCCCTAGGTGAAGGAACTTGAAGAAAAGATCTGAAGCTATTGATGTCCTGTAGTTTTTAGGGGATAGTTCTCCCAAGGACCCATAAAACCTCCTAGAAGTTTGAGTCAGATCCTGCCTTCTGTCTATTTCACTTTCCAGTTGAGAGGAGCAGTTTGATTGGAGAACCTGAGCTGAAGCCTTGTGATTGCAGCACATTGGAAGAAAGACCGAACTTAGAAGAAATAGACATGATTATTGCTTAAATGCTTTCAATACAATCCAAAATCATGATGATAACTGATGTTTGTTCTTTGGCTCACCCCACCCTGATTCTGGAACGTAAGCTCCAGTATGGATGGTAACTCTTACATATGTCAGCTGCAGCTATTACAACTGTGCCTGGCATGAACAATTGCTCAGGAAATATTTGTTAACTAGCTTACTACAACTTTAACCTATATGTCTGAATTAAGTCTTAAATATTGGTATCACAGACCTGCACCTCTGAAACAAATAATACATTCTATGTTTAAAAAAAAAAAAGGAAGAAGATAGTAGGAGGGGAAAAATGAAGGGGGGGGAATCGGAGGGGGAGACGAACCATGAGAGACTATGGACTCTGAGAAACATACTGAGGGTTCTAGAGGGGAGGGGGTGGGGGATGGGTTAGCCTGGTGATGGGTACTAAGGAGGGCACGTACTGCATGGAGCACTGGGTGTTATACGCAGACAGTGAATCATGGAACACTACATCAAAAACTAATGATGTAACGTATGGTGATTAACATAACATAATAAAAACAAAAAGCAAAAAAAAATATTGGTATCACTTCAGCAGTGTTTTGCAGAAGTTATTTAATGGCTATCAAATTGATCTCTTTTGCATTCTTTGCAAGAAAAAAATATTGTTTCTTTTTTAAAAAAGATTTTATTTATTTATCTGAGAGACAGAGCACAGAGGGAGAGTGAGAGAGAGAAGCAGACCCCCAGCTGAGCAGGGAGCCCTACGTGGGGCTTGATTCCAAGATGCTGAGATCAGGGCCTGAGCCAAAGACAGATGCTTAACCAACTGAGCCATCCAGGCACCCCAAGAACATTAAGTTTCTTAAGTGACTTTTTCTTTTATTTAATCTTATCTACTCTAAGACATAAATTTTAGAATTTCAGAGATTTAAAAGAACAATTCAACCCTCTTATTTTACAAATGAAATAACTCAGAGAGGGTAAGTATCTTATCCAAAGGCACAGAAAAATCTATCACGATATGGTTTTTACATCAAATGAGTTATTTGCTATTTCTTCCATTTATGTTAATTTTTTTCTATTAATTAGGTTGTAAGATTATTGTCTTTGCACTAATTTATGCTTCTACATAAATCTCCCCAGCATGTATCCTGGTGCTGGCATACATGTAGCTTTAAAAAAAATACAAATTACTTAATTGAGTTATTGGAGTATCAGAAATCACTCAAAATAATATGAAGAAAAATTACATTACAAAATATGTGGTTTATTCAAGTACATTCTTTCAACATTTAAATATTATTACAATGATAATTATGTTAAGTGAAATAGCATTTTATAGTCAGAACTGTCTTAACATAAGTGTAGAAAGACAAGGTATTCAAGAAACATTTACCCAAAGTTTTGTTTGCTGTTTGAGCTATGGTTTTCCTATTTTAAGAAATAAGGGAAAATAAAGGAAATAAAGAACAACTAATTTCAAAACATATTTTTATTAAAAGGAGTGTAAAACAGCAAATGGTCTAAATAATTCTTTTCACTAAGGATGAATTTAATTTAGTGGAGAGAGGATATGGCTCAGAGTTAACTTGTAGACATAGTCTATCATGAACTAACTGTGTAATGTGGGTTTAATGCAACTTTATGTGCTTTTATTTTCTCACCCCTATTATTTCTATGCAGAGCTCAGTGGGTAAAATATAATAATAAAAGCACTTTTGAAATGATAAAAGTCAATTGATATAGAAGATTCTATGTGACCATGTGCTTAGCAGCAGAAAAGAAAAAGTCATGCTTCTGCAACTATCATCTATTTAGAATCATAGATCACAGAGGGAATGGGACATTAAAGGTCCCTCTCTATGCTGAAATGTCTTTTGCAGCATATTTCCTGAAGTTGAAATGTATACCACTGGTGGAACATGAGATGACCTTAGACAGTACATGAATGAATGTTTTTAAGTTATTTAAATGCTTATTTAAAATGCTTAAAGTATTTTAGAAAAAGAATAAAATTCCAAGATAGTAAGCCTTCACTATGACAGATATTATTGCCTTTTCTTTCAACAAAATTACTTAGGAAAAAAAGTTATCATTTTAATGTAAAAAATTAAAACATGGTACATAAATATGGTGAATTAATGATATAAGTTTTTAAATGACTAAAGCTTGGGAAATGCTTTTCCACAACCATCTATGTAGAAGAGTGGTCACTTGGCCTTTGTTTGACAAACCCAGAAAAGGAAAATTCACTGCTGGATCAGAAAGTTTATTCTATCTTTGGAAAATTTTGAACATCTCAAAATCTTGCTCTTATCTGTGCAAAATCCATTACATTGTAGTATCAAATATTTGATGTCAGTTCTGAAAATTGAGGACACCGAGACTAAGTCTAATTCCTTTTCCTCCCCATAGTCCGTGGTCCTCTACCAAACTGCCCACCTAAAATGTCCATAACTGAAGAGGGCAGCAGAATTGGGCTTTAATAATACAGATTGGTGAAACTAACATTGTTCCAGTTTCCTGACCCTTTCCAATATTTTGATTCTGGCCAATTTTATATGAACTAATAATTTACTTTTCAATTTTAAAAATTTTATAAAAATTGGGAGAAATTTGTTCATATGCTTTGAATTTTATCACACTTAGATAATAGTGAATCTGTTAGCATTTCTGGGGGAGAAAGGGCCATTCCAAATTTTGAAATGATATTTCTGTGAGATATTTTCAGCTCTTTAAAATTACAGTTTTCTATTTACTGAAGGCAGGCAAACTTGAGTATTCTGGCCTCTCATTGTCTTCTAAACTTAGTTTACATAGAGCTTTTATTTTCAAGCTAAAGCTGCTATCATTTCTTTGAGAGATGTCACTTATTTAAGGGAAAAAAAAGTTGTTTTAACTTGTACATCAGCATATTTTATTCCAAATCGCTTCCTTGGACTGAGACTTCTGAGATTTCATGAATGCAAGAGCTTCTCACTTTTGTCCATGTGTGCAAAGGAACTAGAAAAGAAGAATAATGTAAAGGAACAAAGCTAAGCCAGGACATCAGACTCCTAAGAAAAATTGCTTTCTGTCTATTTCAGTGTCCAACTAAGAGGAGCAGCTTGATTGGAGGAACAGAGTTAATGCCCTATGACTAGAGCCCATGGAATGACGTAAGTTGCAAGAAATGGAATTAAGTGACTTACTTATTAAGTAATTCACCCAAACTCACAACATCATTATAGTTCTACCAATCCTGTGCAATCCTGATGGGAGGTGAGCTGAATGACTTCCCAAAGTAAGCTCACAGGCCATGAGGGACCTCAAAAGCCATGGCTTGTGAGTTTTTCCAGTGGAAGTGAGTTTTGCCTCTGGGAATATTATTTTAAAAAGAAAATATTACTGCCCTGATTAGGGTTTTTACCAAACTTATGACCACTAGAGCAAGGAAGTCTGTAATGTTACCCTCATAACTGGAGTGAACTTCTGCATGCCAGCATGCCAAAAACAGAGTCTGGTTGGGATGGAAGATGAATCGAGGTTAAAAAGGGATAATGGAGAAAGGGGGGCTGAGAAACTGATTTGGCTAAAGAGACTGGATCTCCAAAATGAGTAGCAAGTGCTTAACCAGTGTACAAAAAGAGGAGTAAACTTGACCTTGATTGTGGCAAATGCTAAATATTATAGGTTGTTTAATTTAATGGATGAGGCAGATCAAGGGAATGGGTGATATATTAAAGTAAATCTGAGAATGATCAACCTATTTATAGTGAATCCTCACATACACCTGTCAGTGTATGTTTTCATGACCTCCATCGTATCTGCCTTCTCTTCCTCCTGCACTGTTTGGCTCAATCCATTCCAGACTCACTGTCTTTAGTGTTCCTTGAACATGTCAAGTATGCTCCCAACTTAGGTTCTTGCACATATTATCATTTTTGTGATGCTTTTCTTGAACCATTCTACTTTAAACTCATGTTCTCCTTTTTTTCAGTGCACACTGTTTCTCTTCCTTGCTTTATTTTTCTCCACAACACTTACCACATCCTGATATGATATACATTTTGCTCAATATATTTATTATATTGATATTCACACTAAAATATAATCCTTCCATGAGGGCAAGTATTTTTGTTTGTTTTATTCACTGCTATAGTTCCAGAACCCAGAAAAGTACCTGGAACATAGTAAGAGCTCAAATATTTGTTGAATTTTCATTTGAATAGTCATTGTTACCTATATTTCTTTGTCTTTAGATCATTTCTCCCCCTCTTAGCTTTCTGTTACCTTAAAACTGAGGTTAATCCATAACTATAGTTTGTTCATGGAGTCTATTCTTTCTCTAAACTTTCTCTAGGCTTCCTTTTAGATTTGCTTCTGTTTCCTACAACCTGAATCCCTTCACATTTCATAACTCTAATTATTGAAACAGACTATTCAAAATTAATTCCTATTGGGCCTCTTTTTTTTTTTTTTTTGGTACCTGGCAACTGGTCACCCTGTGAATCAACTTTCTTGGATCCCACATTAAGATCCCTCAGCTGTAGCTCAAGATTCAAACCATGGTTACCCAGGGCTATCTGCCCTCTTCCCTTGGGTGAGGCAGATACCTAATCTATAGAGGTGTTAAAATTACTGGTTTTGTAAGATGTAAATGTGATCTGAGTTGGATATCAAATGTTTTCAAAATGTGTTCATTTTAATTACCCTTTCTCAATTTACTTCTGATTAATTCTCTTTCTTTTTAAATGTCCCTTATCTCATGTAAATGTCTAGCTACCCTTGCTAGAGATCTCAGTCCTTATAAATGATTACCATCTCTTGTCAATTTTCTTTCTTTTTTTTTTTTTTTAAGATTTTATTTATTTGACAGAGAGAGAGAGCACGTAACAGGGAACAGAAGCCGGGGGAGTGAGAGAGGGAGAAGCAGACTTCCCGCGGAGCAGGGAGCTCGATGTGGGGCTCGATCATGACCTGAGCTGAAGGCAGACGCTTAACGACTGAGCCACCCAAAGGCCCCGTCAATTTTATTTCTGAAAAATCTTGAATATGTGTTTCTCTGAATTCCCACATATGTTTCCTTAGTTAGATTTCTCTAGACCTAACTTCTCATTTCAATAAATATTACACACTTCTACCAGAATGTCTTTTAAAAATACTGATGCAAACAGGTCATTTTTCTCTTCAGAATCCTTCCATGACCCTAGGTAATTCACTAAGATAAGAAATAGAAATAAGATGTTAAAATATTTTTAAAAAGAAGCAAAAGGTAGATCACATGATTGTGTAAATAGAATCCAATAAAATAGATTCTGTTAGATTATCTGCAAATTATCTAATAGAATCAATAAGTAAATTTAACAAAGTTGTTAGATACAAGGTAAACATACAAAAATCAATTATTTTAATCTCCTAGCAACAAACAATGGAAAAATTACAAAATAAAACAATTCCATTAATATTAACATCAAAAATTAAATGTTTAAGAGTTCAGTTAATAAAAGATGGGAAATTAAATGTTTAAGTATTTAGTTAATAAAAGATGGATAAGATTTCTACACTAAAATTATAAAACATATTAGTGGATGTTAAACAAATATTTATTAAATCAACACCAAACACTTGTGTCTAGAAAATATTCTCCGGTCACTTCTGGAGATGTTATATATACTTAAACCAAAGTAGAAATGCAAAAAGTGTTATCAGCTTACTTGGAAATACAAATGTACTTTGCTCATCCTTAGCAAAATAGATTCTTATACTCCTGTGGGGATTGTAAATGATTTTAAAAATATCTTAGCGACAGTCCACACATTAAATTTTCTTTTATTTTGTCTCCATGAATATTAAATGCATAGAGAAATAAAACTAAGGGTTTTGCACATCTCTATACATTTCAATACATGTGTTTGTTGTGAAAAAAACATGCAACAGATTCAAAGAATTGTTTCTATTTCTGGTAACATGCTTGCTTCATCAATAGCTGTGATTTTAGTGTTTGAATAAATGCATTTTGGTCAAATGACAAAATTATCAAATTTAAAATACAATTTTTAAAAGGTGTATGAAACAAGGGGACTTGAATGGGGACTTCTCAAGCACTTTGTTGGGTTCAATATTGCTGAACATTTGCCCTTGATTGTGACTGTCCTCTACGAATGTAGGAGAGCAGCCAGTTTAAACACATGATTCTCAGGGTTCATTTAGGGTTTTGATGGCAGGGTGCAAAAATACATGTATTTGTTGTAACACCTTAATTGGCATTTTTCTAGATGTTTTATGACTATGTGAAATTATAGCTGGATATTAAATTGTTCGTACATTTCCTCCTTTGAAGAAACTAATTAGGTCTAAATGACTAATTCTCAGTTGCAGAGTCATGAACACAAAATATGATTCATGGAAGTAGGCATGACTTCACATCCAGGACATGGTAACGCTTTATTTGTGTGCATTTAAGGAAGACAGGAGCAGAAGTTCATTTGCTGCACCTGTTACAAAAAGTTGTGAAGGCAAGTAATAGTCTGGAATCGTCCGTACATCATGCCCAATGGCACTTCAAGAATGATCGCATATGCCAGCCACATGTTGGCAACTCTGCTTCTTCAGTCTTACCATGAGTCACACATAGTGAGTACAGAGCAGGAAGAAACTGAAGGAAGGGACTCAAAACCTCCATTGGAATCAGGGTTCAAAAAGGAAGCTGTTGAGGTGGGGGTACAGAACATATTTTCTTCTCAGTTTTATAGTAAATAATAGGTTTGTATTTTTTGATTTAAGAATATTTATAAAGTGCATACATTATTGTCATTGGTTATGCTTCTGATCAGGGGTTCCCTGCATCCCACACATTTTTTTTAAACATTGGCATTTTCTAAGAAATTCAACATCTAGGGTTTGAAACAAATCTTTGGTTCCTAGTGTTTTGTAATTTTCATTAGCTTTTCTCATTAAGAAAGGAAACCGAGCAGACAAGCATTGCTTACTGAAACTTCTATACAGCTGGTAGTGTTCCTCAGCTGAGATCCATATACTTAGTGCACACTTAAGGAACTATAGAGGTTACAGATGATATGTCATTCTAGGATGCAAGCTGCAGTGGACATAGGCTTTTGCTTTATTTTATTTCACTGCTCAACATTCATTTTCCTTTAAATCATTTCTTTTTATTTTATGTTTTTAATTGAGATGCAATTGGCGTAGAACATTGAATTAATTTTAGGTGTACAGCATGATGATTTGGTATGTGCATGTGTTGCAAAATGATCACCATACTAGGTTTAGTTAACACCCATCATCACACATAGTTATGATTTTTTTCTTATGATGAGCACTTTTAAGATCTATCATAACTTTCAAAATACAACACAGTATTGTTAAATGTAGTCACCACGCTGCACAGTACATCTCCATGACTCATTTATCATATTTCTGGAATTTTGTATCTTTCGACCGTTTGCATCTATTTCCTTTCCTTTCCTTTTCTTCTTTTAAATAGAGAAAGGTCTTTTAAAAGACCTGATGTCTTTTGGTCAAAGACAAATCCAAACCCACTGGATGCTCTGTTTTGAAATTTTAATCTTGAGTAGAAGAACCAAAAGACCACAATGGTTAGTTTCTTTTTTTCTTCCCCGTTGGTGAGGTCCTCACTGTCCTTGCCCGGCTATAAGACTACTGTGGTGGTTCCTGCTTCCTAGCTTTGAGGTCTTCCTTCGTATGCCAAAACCTTATTCTTTTATCCTCTTTATCCTCTGATAAACTTTGAATCCTAATTTCCCTCTTGATGCCTTCCAATAAATTCTATGTCTGTAGCTTTCAGTGAAAGATATTTAACTGATATATTACTCATAATTTCATTTTTACAATTTCATGCAGAATGCAAATAATCATAATGCAAGTGGCATTATGAATAAAAAGCAAATCACTCATAAACATTTTACATTTATTGTTGATAACAAAAAGTAATTATCGCACAATTATTGAAACAAACATATGTCAGAACACTGGCTGGAAAATGCTGATATTTAGCCGTAGAAGCTATTGGTAATGGCAACCTGTTCCTTGTTAACTCTGAGTAGAGATTGTCTCTGGGATGCTTTATAGGTCTGGGGCTCCAAGAATTTGATGACAGCATGATCATACCGTTTGTGTGAACCTGCTGGAGTTGGCGGAA